TCGACTCCCCTATGATGAGGTAGCACTCTCGAGTAACAGCGTCTGAGTAGCCATTATCATTATCTCGGGACTTCGTATCGCATGTCAATCCCATGGGCGGGATGGGCTAAGTGTATAGCCACAAGCAATGTCCCTTAATCGTGGATCGGCTTCCGAAACCGTGGAAAGTAGAAAAGAAAGAAGACAATGACGGCGAGCAAGACGACCAAGGTAGGCAAAAACATGAATGTAAAAAGGAAGACACTCAGCCCGAAGGCAGCATTCTGGCCCGGAAAGAATCGACGAGCCATTAGGTCGAGAGTGGCGGCAAGCATGGATACGGAGGACTTGGGTCAAGAGATGATAAGCGCTAATTATTGTTCCACAAGGTAGTGGTCTAGCGATAGTGGCGAGCAAGGATGTAGAGGAGATCGGCAATGAGGAGGAGAATTAAATCGCTGATGGTTGAGGTAGCCAAGTGTCTGGTGGGAAGAGTGAAGCAGAAGTGATGCGATCGCGGGTTGATGGTGTGGTGTCGATCCAACGAAGACGGTGATAGTTAAGCATTTATAGACATCAACTCAAGGTCTCAAGGTTGCCCGGGAGGCCCATCCGGCGTAGGAAGAAAAAGCTTGCTGGATGGTTTGCAGTTGCAGGGTTCGATAACGATTGGAAATGAATATGCCTGTTGAACCACCCAGAGGTTTAGGTTGGGATGAGTGACTGATCCGCGGACCCCGGTCGGAGTGGAAGGAAGTTTCCAGAGATGGGATGATTGACAAGTCGGTACTAAACAAATTTGAAGTTGGGACTGCCGCAACGGTAATCACTCTGTATCGTAATAATGGGTGCCTGCAAGGTGGCTGCATTATTGGCACCACATGACATTTTCATTTGCTGCAACAGCTGTTGCCCCATGTAGCGCCACACTTTCTTGTCCACCTTTGGTCTAGTGGTTCTATAAAATCTGTTTCGGGATGACGCAAGGAGGTAAAGTTACCCGGTAGGACTACAGTACCGGATCACGGCGGTTTGGCACAGGCAGCAGGAATTCCTTCCAGAACAACTGAGCCACTCATTCCTTACGGTCGCAATGCGTCGATTTCAGATAAAGTCGAAGCGTGAAGCGAAGACAAAATCTATGCAGAATTATCTTAGTGGGTCAATTGACTAGATAAGGAATGAAACCTTGGCTGGCTATTTCGGACACACACCTCGAGTGCCATAGAGTGCAGCCCTGTGTATCCGTAGCGCTGAGGAAAGTGGCAGGGGCGGAACCATTCAATGGCCACATTGCCTTGTAGGGCTGAGGCTACTAGGTAGTACTGGCTGACCTTGGCAGTTGGCACTAACTAGTAACTACGTATTATTATTATTTTTATCATCAAGTCACTCTCACTCCTCATCATCTTTCAACTCTGTCCTGTTCAAATCTCTTATTAATCCACCGTCGTGGTTTAGTGCTAAATATCCCAAGACTACCCACCACCCTAATTCATATTCTTTCTTAATCTCTTTAGTTCTTTTCTCCTTACACACCTCCTCCCCCTTCCCCAATCCCTTCGCTTCCCCATTTCCAATTTTAACTCGCCTTTTCGTTCGGTTACCCCCTCCTTTCTTTCTCCAAACACACAGAGTGTGGATGCATCCGTGAGCCTCCCCCACCGCCGCGCGGAGATGAGGCTATCCCACTCGCTACTTTGACTCCCCCGCCCACCATCGATATCCTTTCGAATCTCGATATCATCATCCCTTCCTTTGATCTCTTATCTTCCTTTCATCCATTCTCCTCCGTTACGGCCTTCAACCCCCTCCGATCAACTCGAGATGGGCCTCTTTGCTGGCCATGAGCCCGTCGACCATGCCGAGCTGGATAATTTCGGCGTCGATTGGGTCATCCACTATTCATTCGAAGATCTCGGTAAGGAGGGTACCTCAACCAAACCCATGATTGACAACACGTTAGCTCACAGCCACCTCCTCGGCGCAGAAATCTCGCAGGCCATCTCCGAATTTCGAACTTTAATCCACGACTTGGAGGAAGCGCATCTGCAGGTCCAGGTTCGCCATGGTTACGGACCCTCCCTGCTGGTCTTCATTCGCATTCCCCCGGATCTCTTGGGGAACATGGTCTACAAATCTCGGTACGGGACTTCGGATCATCCACCCTCGCGTCCCTAATTCTAACATTCACACAGAGTCAAGGACTGGTTACACGGCATTATCCATGAGTTCCCTGCAGGCGACGATCACACAGTGGTTGAGTCTGAGACTGCCGCGGAAGCCCTCCGGTCGGTCTATCATGCGGTGACTTGGCAGAAACACTTGGGAGGGGCGGGAATCACCCCCAAAATAGGCCAGTGGAAGAATATCCAGGCAGCCATCCCTCTCCAAGACCGCGCCGCGAATGCCGAACTCTTGCGCAAATGGAGCAAGACGGTCAATATTACTGCCGAAGATCTCGACGCTATCCGCGCGCTGTTCGGTGAAAAGGTAAGCACTCCCTGTTTTCCACCCCTCCTTGGACTTAAACCGCCCCCACGCTCTCGCATGATAGAAACTGATCATATGCAATGAGCAATCTAGGTCGCCTTCTATTTTGCCTTCATCCACTGCTATTCCACTTTTCTCGTCTTCCCCGCCGTTTGGGGCGTGTTCTGCTGGTTCTATCTCGGCCCCTATTCCATCACTTGCGCTCTCGTCAACTGCCTCTGGTGTATTATCTTCGTCGAGTACTGGAAGACTCGCGAGATAGATTTGAGCCTGCGGTGGAATGTTCGTGATGTTGGAATCCTCAAGGTCAACCGACCGGAATGGGTGTGGGATAAGGAAGTCCAAAACCCCGTTACAGGGGAGACAACGAAGGTGTTTTCGACGCAAAAGCAGTTCCTTAGGCAGCTGCTGCTTATTCCCTTTGCGACCGTAGCTGCTCTAGCCTTGGGCTCTTTGATCATCTTGTCATTCGCTTCTGAGGTATTGGTGTCCGAGATATATACCGGTCCCTTTAAGGGCTACCTGGAGTTTCTTCCAACCATCTTGTTCTCCCTCTCGCTGCCGTGGATCACCAATACGCTCACCGAGTTCGCCAAGCAGTTGACCGACTACGAAAATTACCGCACGCAGGACCAGTACGATGTCGCCCAGACTTCCAAGACATTTGTCATGCACTTCATCACCGCCTTCCTGCCGACCTTGCTGACTGCATTTGTGTACGTGCCCTTTGGCACGAAGCTGGTCCCTTATCTGGACGTCTTCCGCACTTATGGCCTCATGTCTGCCAATCTGGCCAAGGAGATTCACATTGACCCGGCCCGTCTTCAGCAGGAAGTGATCTACTTGTCTGCGACCGCCCAACTACTCAACTTTGGCGAGGAGATTGTGCTCCCCTACGTCAAGCAGACGCTAATGCACAAGTGGCGCACCTATCGCGACGGTCGCGATGCCGCTCGCATGCCTCGTCGCCATTCCCAGCGGACTGATTTGTTACTTGTCGATGCACCCGAAGAGGCAGCATTTCTTGCGCGTGTGCGCGATGAGGTGGAAGCGGACGAATACAACGTCCATGACGATACTTTGGAGATGTGTGTACAATTTGGATATCTGGCCCTTTTTGGAGTGGCCTGGCCCTTAGTGCCGCTCGGGTTCTTGGCCAACAACTGGCTAGAGCTGCGAGGCGACTTCTTCAAGCTCAGTCTAGAGTGCCAGCGACCCCCGCCGATTCGGGCGGATTCGATCGGACCGTCTCTGCAGGGACTGGAAGTGCTTGCCTGGCTAGGAACTCTTTCCACGGCCGCAGTCGTCTATCTTTATCGTAATAGCATGGAGGGGGTGCAGTTCTCCTCCTTCCTGCTGACTCTGCTTCTGGCTGAGTGGGCGTATCTTGGCGTCCGGTTTGTGGTTCAGACCGGCATGGAAAGGATTAGCTCGGTAACCCTCAAACGGGCGGAGGCCAAGCGGTACGGCATGCGCAAGCGCTACCTCGAGGCCACATCAGGCAACGTTTCCCCGCGGGGCAAGCCGCGGGTCCGTTTTGAGGACAAGGTCAGTGTGTATACCACTGGTACCGATGTGAGCACCAGTAAGGAGGGGCTTTTGCAGCCGGGACATGATGGTCTGCACCATGGGCGCCAATTCTGGTCCTGGGCACCTCAGGAGGCCGCTGATGCTGGTGTCCGCATGATCAAGGCATTAAACACCACTATGGACGGGTCGAGAACTGGGCCGACCAAGGTGGCCAAGGGAGCGTAGGGTCGTTGTGCTGTATTTCTTAAACCACTCGTTGTAAATGATGAATTTCCTCTTTGTTTTCGGTCGAATGAGTCTTGACTTTGTAGGGTAGAGAAAGTAAGGTATGTTAGGGGGAGTACCTACTACCTTACTGTGCATGACCACCTTTGAAGTGAGTGGCAGGCTGCAATCTGCACGGGTCTCCCCTGTCCAACTTGACTTTTACCCCTCTCCATCGGACCTGAGTTCGAACCACCACTCCTTGGACCCCTGCGATATTTCTCGGGTGGCAATGGCCATTGAGCTGGATTATCTGATCCAGAGAGTATGAATTGAATTTCGAGGAAAGGTAAACAGCATTGAGTTTCTGCTGCTCGTGGGTTGAACAAGCGTCAGCCCTATAAGGCATGCCAAGTGCGGATACTCCCAGGCGACCAGCCAATCCGCTGGCCGACCGACATTCCGGACTCCATTCTTGCCCGCTGGTTTGTTGCGCGTCTCTCTTTCCAGTTCCAGTTCCAGTTCCACTGTCCAGCTTCTCTGCCCAGTGCCAAGTTCCAACTTTCTCTCTCGTCTTCATCCTTCTTTCTCTCCTCTTTCTCATCCAGCAGCTTCAGTCTCCGACCGCCCACATCTCCCTGATTCCCCCCCCTCCTCTCCCCTCCCCTATATGTCATCCCTGGCGTCCTCTCTCTCTCATTTCCCTTCCCTCTTTTCTCTCTCCCTCTCTCTCCAGGGCTGTTCCTCCACCGCCGGTTGGAGGGGCTTCGTCTCCTCAGGTTTCGCTGCCCCCGATGCGCCCCTCGCAGGACACCCTCCCCCCCCTCGTCTCCGATAAGGTCCTGCATCACGAAGAGCATGAGACGGGCTCTCTACCTCCAGCATCGGTTACTTTATTGCGGCAGCGACGAAAACTTCACGTTATAAATCCCTTGTGGTACCGCAACAGTCTACTGGCGAGCGTGGGGTTCCTGGAGTTCGCCAACGCGGGTGACTTTGCCGCTAATGTGTGGAACGATGTCCCCGTCCCGCTATACGCCATTATCTTCATGGCGATCGGAGGTCCTCTAGCACTGTTGATCAGCGGATTTGCCGTCCGCGATAGTGTGCTCAGCTGGCAGAACGTCCGGATTCTTCAACGAGAGCGCAGATACCTCAAATCCCTGCAGGCCCAGCACCTCGAATGCCCCGCACCGGATGCCACCACACTCCGTTTCATCGACCGCCGTCTGGGGGTCAGCCACCGCGAACTGGGCACCGAACTGGTCGATCGCATCGTCATGGACGTATTTTTGGGGATCGGCGGTCTTCTGGTCGGCACGGGCACCATCATGGCCATCTGGGGCTCCGACCGACACGTATACTTCATCAGCAACCTGCTCTCGGGGTTCGTCGGCAACTCCTTCGCGGCCATCTACGGCATCATCAATGCCATCTGGTCGGCCTATCTGGCCTGGCGCTTTCACAGCTACGACCGCGCGTGCTCCCGGGCGGGAGCCATGCTCGCCCCGTTCCGCGACCGACTCCAGCGTCGCTTCCAATGCTTCAAGTGGCACGCCGTCGCGTCCGGGTGGACCGGCCTCATCGCCGGCGGCGCCTCCATGATGACCTCCCGTCTCTGGGAGGGCTACGTTGTCCTCATTCCATGCATGCTGTTGGAGGTTGCCTGCAACCGCTTCTGGCGCGGTCAGCTCGGCTACGACCGTCCCATCGTGGCACCCGACTCCCCCCTCCACCGGGGCATCTTAGTTCCCGAGTCTCCCTATAGCCCAGCCAGCAGCAGCAACAGCAACAGCAGCAGTCCGCAACTGGGCTACCCCAAGCCAACAATCCCAGTCGCCCACCACCACAAAACCGAACAAGACCCCAACATCCACCCCGAAGACGCGGAAAAAGAAGAAGATCGCCTGCTCCTCGACGCCCTCACCTCCGTAATCAGCCTCCAAACCGCCCTGGTGCCCATCCTCCCCTCCACCCTCGTCCTGGAAGACGTAGACTGGACCTCCCTCGACTCCCTCCTGCTGTTCATCGTCAACAACCACCTTTTCGACTGCCTCTGCGACTGGCTCGCCACCAACCCCGCCGTCCCCAAGGACTTCCGTCACCGCGTCTTCCGTTTAGCCACCAACCCATCCTTCTCGGAGATCACGGTCACCCTGACCGACCTCCGCCATCTGAGCGACGTGGAAGATCGACCCCGCATGCTGGAAATGTGCCAACTCTTCCTACGGACCGAAGCCCAGCAGGTCATGATCAATCGGGAACGGTATCTCCTTGAGATGGTGGGGTACACAATCTGGAAGAACGATTGACTTTTCCTTCCCACCCGTTCTGCTTCTTTTCGGCATTGGGATAAGAAACCGGATAATGCATCAATATTACCCATAGACTGGGTGTTTTCAATTTTCCGCGTGTTCATTTGTATAGAAATCAGCGGAAGCGATCGTGTTTTTGTGCTTGTTGAGCATAGCATATATAATCGTGTGCATTGTGTTTTCCCATGAGCGCCTGCGTCTGGTCCATGAGCGATGATGACATGATGCGATGTAATGCGATGCGATGCAGGGCTTGGCTAGATTTGGACTCAAACCGTGAACCGTGAAGTCTGGGACTTTTAGTTCATGATCTATCCATCTTGAATTGGGTTGAGTCGAGTTGAGTGAGGAAGGAAGGGAGAGTGCCGGTTCACTTACTTTCTTTCGGTGGGATGGATGTCTTGGTCCATGTGCTTGGGCTTGGGCTTGAGCGCTGGCATGAGCATTGGCATTGGCATTGGCATGAGCATGAACATGAGCATGAGCATGAGCATGAGCGAGCCTTGATTCCGTTTCTTCTTATATAGATTGACTTATAATGTGTATCTTGATCGATACTAGGGTCTTCCTCCACCTGATTAACTAATTTTCGTAGGGAAGCGGGAGGAGTTGTAGATCCAGGGGTTCGGTAGTGTGCTACTGGCTACGCCGTACTACTCATACATAGCAGGATTGCTTGGAGTTCTCGGGCATGTCATCAGGCCTGACTTGGAGGTGTACTGTACTGTACTGCACTGCACATAGTCTAATCTGACCTCGACCTCCTGTATTCCTCTTGAAAGGAAGGCCTAAGTATGCTATGCCTTGTGGTGCAGGATGTAGTCCCTATTTGGGATATCAATTGGGATAGGTGTTACCTCTTCTCCCTCTCGAACTTTCCCAGAATTTCCAATTCGATGGGTCTCATGGATATGTCCGATATTCACCAATGTAAGCACACGACTCGATAGTACAGTACATCATAACGTTCATAGCATTCTCGCGGGAAACAACCATCCCGCTAAGGCTCGCCCAGTCTTTAATGCACGCTAAAGCACGCTAAAATAAAACAGCAACCAGTGCCACCACTAGAACTACCCGAAGCTCCTCCCTAAAAGCTAAACAGCCCGCTGCGCCGCTTCCCAAACGGGTAAACCACCAACGCAGCCACAAACAACCCGACTGTGATGCCGATCGCGACCTGGATCATCCCGAACCCCAATATATTCGAGGACTCGGAGTTCTGCGACGTCGATGTGGTGGTGTGGTTCTTGGTGACGTTCGAGCGGATCTGGTCGGCCGTGTCGACGCCGGCGATCAGGCTACCGGTCGCGGCGAGGCCCGAGGGGACCAGCACGAAGATGGCCGGGAGGACGGCGGCCGCGGCGTGGCCGTGCCACAGACGGCTGTAGAGGTTTCCGATGACGCCGACGACGAACGCGCCGACCGTGTTGGCGACCTGCGAGTTGTTGCCCAGGCGCGCGGAGACGAAGTAGTTGGTGACGTAGCCGGCCATGGAGATGGTGGTCATCACGGGAGCTTGTTTCCACTTGCCCTGGTTGACCACGAGGAGGCACAGAGAGAAGAGCGCGACGAAGGGAAAGCGCTGGAGATACGGGTTCTTGAAAGCGCCGGCCGACGGACAGCTGAGGCTGGAGGTGGCCGTGTTGTCAATTAATCCGTAGATCGTGGTGCCGACGGTAACGCCATAGCCGAGGAAGAGCGAGTAGATGATCGCGTAGACCATCCGGATGGAGCCGGCGACGATCTGGTGGGATTGGAGCTCTAGACTGCTGCAGAGGACGGTGTAGCCGGGGAGGATGAGCGCAATGGAGGATTGCGCGATGGCCGAGAAGCAGAAGAGCCGGCCCGAGCCGTGGGGGCGATGAATGCTGCCGAATGCTCGGGCGAGGAAGGAGGTAAGCACTGCTGCCGTCACTTCGAAGACATTGTTGTAGAGGACAGAGCGAGGCGCTATCACATGTTGCATGACTCCGAGGAGGCACCCGTTGAAGAAGATGATGGGCATATCGATGGGTCGCGCACTAAATGCAAATGGTCCCACCATGGCCGTGGCGAGCCCATACACAAAAACGATGATCCATTTGTTGAACCGCGGCTTCTTGGTCATGAGCTCCTCCAATTCTCCAGTGGCCTCTTCAATGCCAATCACGTCGTGGATGACGTTCTTGTAAACGTTGTGGGTGTCGGAGAGACGTCCTAGGTTCACACCTTGTACAACGCGAACGAGCTTCACTTCCGTCGTTCGAGTGCTGGGATCGTCGAAGGCCATGATCATGCATCCCGGGACGTACAGGTACTGGCTCTCAATCTCAAGCACTTTGGAGGTCATCAGCATGTATTCTTCCAAGCGATGAGTAGGTGCCCCGAACATCATAAGCGCCTTGCACAGCTGCATGATGTAACGCTGTCGTGCAATGATCTCAGCGATGCGGAGAGTCACCTGGATCTCGTCTTCCAGTCTGAAGCTGCGTCGTCGAGAATGCTTGTCGCGTCGCCTTGAGGCCACACTGAGGAGCTGGTTCGAAATGGGGGTGCTGGCGCCACTGTGACTGGGATCCCCAACCAAGGTGGATGTGGACATGTTTGGAGGCTTCTTATACCATCGCGGCTTTCCCTTGCGAGGAGTGGTCGTCCCTGGGGTGCTTCCACCGAATGGAGTCCACATCCCAGAGGGCATGTTGAGTCCCCGGGTCGATTTGTGGACCTGATCCAGACCCCCGCTGAGGCGTAGCAGGTGAGACAATATCCCTCCGGTTGGTCGGCTCTCTGCGCCTGTTGCTCCAACAAGTTCGTCAGTATCATCCGGCGGCATATCGATTGCATGATGCAAGACTGAATCGCTACGGGTGCTTCGGCGACGCCCGGGATCGTCGTGTGTCAAGCCCCGGATAATGCGGTGCGCCTCCGAGCTGCACGTAATCTGATCCTTGACCTCTGCCTCTTGATTAATTTGCACATCCGTGCTGCGACGACGATAGTCGATTGGTTGCAGGTCATCCTCGCCTTCTGTTGGACGACCCAGACGAGCAGCCCAGTGGGCAGTCTTCTGTTTGACTGTATCCCGAAAAGCTCTGAGGCGTGTCTTTTTTGACCTCTTTTCTGCTGTGTTTGATTCACGAGATGGTGATCCCTCAAGTTCCTCCGGTTCCCATCTATAACCAGCTGCAGCCCGCGTATTCCGTCTTCGAGGTGCTTCTGTGATGTCTATGGATGGATGCGCTGACGAGCGACGCCGTAGATGAGACGATGGCTGGCTTAGGGGGCCGACTCCGGGCTGCCAGCTTCCGTATGAGAACGTTCTATCTGCCCCGAAGTGAACGCGATGAACCTGCGTAGAATGCGGGCTGCCCGGGGAAGTTCCCGGTGAACTGTCGCTGTCTGAGCTTGCATGGCGCCGATCTCCCGGGTCCGAGTGAATTTCATCTTGATGCTGCACGCTGTGATAGCTGATGGGGGAGGAGGAACCACTCGACTCGCTACTTGATCTCTTTTCCGACATGGTGGCTGCTAATCTGTAGTTTGGGTTTATCGCGTTAGTATCAGCCAGTTGAGGTCAAAGAACTCCTGTTGATGGTGTGAGGATTCACCAGACCGTGCTTGAACAATCAGGGAGTCAACTCCCTGCGCAAAGCACAAGTCACTGTTTAAGTAGCAGTCATCTCATCAATTTTGCAAGACCGGATATGCTAAGTGGAAACCTCGGTGAGAACGTCTGGCGGCTGAAAGAACAGCATAATAAAGGGATTGTCTCACGAGACATGATCATCCTGCATAGAGACTCAAAAGTGAGGCGCAAATGCCTAGGACCGTCTAGGAGCGCAAGACAACGCTTTACCAACACGGTAAACTTCATGCGCACCAAAGCCTTGCTGGCAGCTGTCCGGTTCGAAGGTGCGAGGGAAATGTAACCTTATCGGAGTCGATGACGCATTTCGATTCCAAGGACTCCTCAGCTTCAGTTGGCATTTGTGGGGCCAACCTCGGGTTTAATATCTTGGTGAATACATATCATTGGCTCAAGATGAGCTCAGAGCAATGTAATAAGGGAATCTGTAGCATGTTGGACCTGTTAATTTTACTGCCTGAGGCAGGATGTAGGCTTCAGACTGATCTGGAACTTCATGGGTGGAGCGATTCACCGACGGCAAAATAGCATGCAGGAAGTCAAAAAGGCTCTAGAAGATCATCAGAGCCTGAAAGATCCTGATGTATGCTAAGAGGTATACCGAATGAAACTCTTTTGTGAAAGGTATGTACTCCGCACTATAGGCAGTAATCAAGACGATTGCCAGTCCATGTCAGGGAAGTCGACCTCAACACTGCCACTCGCTTCTCGCATGGAACTAGCTGTGACAGTCTCTCCACATACAGTGGGGTAGACCCTACAGTCTCGCCTGAGAGAGGGAAGAATTCACAAGTTCAAGAAAGGCGAGAAGGTGTTTAGAACTGGCAGGCTATGGGGAAATCCAACGACGAAACAAAAACGTGGGGAAGATAACTAGAGGCGGATCCATGATGACTAATTGTCTGGTCGGTCATTTTCGCCGATTGGCCCGAGGCCCAAGGGACTTTCCCTTGTGCGGCGTGGCGCCGGCACTGGCTGCAGTTCCACAACACAGCGTGTTCTGGACTCTTCAACTTCTCCACGATTAAATCTCGTATTGTATTCTACTCGCAATCTTGCGCGCAATACTGCTCCCCACTCCTCCCTGTGATGGGCTCTCCTACCAAACCATACCAATGTCAGCGATGCCCCAGGACATTTGCTCGCCTAGAGCATCTTCAGCGTCATGACCGCTCACGTATAGACCCTCTTCTGTTACTTCATGATCTGTGATTACAAATCAGTTGACCCCGAGGCGCAGATACAAAAGAGAAGCCGTACATATGCACTAAATGCCCCAAGTCATTTACTCGCAAGTGAGTTACCTAATATCTTCGACTTTGAGTTGAAACTCTCGCTAATACTCCAGTAGGGACCTGTTGGCGCGTCACGAACGCCTGGCTCACAGCAGTCCGGCCCTGGATGCTACACCAACAAGCTCACCGCAACCTGCGTCTCCCCAAGTTTTCGACGGACTTAATGTACTAGCATCAGCAGTGGCTGGTCGTCCGGTTTCGCCATCTCCTCGGGAGGTTCAGCCGATAACTACTGCTTCTCCAGCATCCTTTCCAGTGGCATTAGCGGACACGGTTCCCGGGCATACTGTCGCAAACTCCCAGACGGCGGCAGCAGCTCCTTCTGAAGCTCCTGGGTTTACCGAACCCTTCGCCAGCTATGGCCAGTCTATCTCTCATGATGGGGAGGACTTCACCACTTTCCTAGATAGCATTCCGCTTCCCAGTCATCCTTACTCACCCACTTACCAACCACTTCCTCTTTTTCCCGCCTTTCATTTTGACACAGCGACCTCGGATTATGGTCACACCGTTGCGAAGGACAAGTCAGCCAGTAATATTGGCTCACCTTCCACACCCGTATTGCCTCGACACGGAACGCAGTTGCCATCACTCCAACCGGACAGGACTCAAGCACCCTATAAGGCTCGCGAGCCTAGTAGCCAAATATCGATAACGACGCAATGCAGAGACCGCATTATTGCATCCCTATCAGACTATACCAACGTCGTTCATAACCCGTTTGTCCCGTCGCGACACGCCTTATCCCGCTGTCTTGGCGGGTACATGAATGGTTTTCATGACCACTATCCATTTTTGCACATTGCCACGCTCGACACAGATGCGACTCCTGTGCATCTGCTTCTCTCTATGGCCGCTTTGGGGGCTCAGTACTGCCGCGAGCCTGACACGAGCCTGGAACTATTTAAGGTGGCGAGGGCAGTCACTCTTGAGCATGTACGAAGAGAATTCCAGTGGGGTTGCTCCACTCACCAAGTGGCAAGTCATGTCGACAAGGCGGTCAGAGATCAGGACATCATCGAAACTATCCAGGCATTTCTTATATTGATGTCCGTATCATGCTGGTTTGAGCGCGACCCACCACATCACGAGGCTCTTTACATGCGAAGCACCATGGAAACTCTTCTTAGACAGGGAGGCTTGAACGAGCTGCCGGCACAGGACGGGACTTGGGAGAGCTGGATCCGCAACGAATGTGTCAAGAGGACGAAGCTGATTGTCTTTTGTTTTTTCAGCGTCCATACTATTGTGTTTGACATACCACCGCTGATCTTGACTGAAGAGCTCACTCTTGACTTGCCTTGCACAGAAAAGGAATGGAATGCGACGAGTGCGAGTCAGTGGCTTATGGAGAGAAGTCAAAGCCGCGGGGAGCCTAAGCTACAAGCTGCTTTGAATGCTCTTTTTCCACAATCATCTGGGGCCAAAGGTCGCCTAGAAAGCTTCTCCTCAATGGGCGGCTATGTATTGATTCACGCAATGATTCAAAATATTTGGTTGATGCAAAAAGCCAGTCGCCTTCCCGTCTCCAATGGTGGTTTCTTATCACCGGCAGTGATCAATTCGCTAGAACAGGCGTTGGAAAATTGGTGTCAGTGCTGGGAACACAACCAGGAATCCTCCATTGATCCTTTCAACCCTCACGGCCCTCTCTCTTTCACCTCGACAGCCCTCCTCCGTTTAGCATATATCCGTCTCAATGCCGATTTCAGCTCCGCGCGACGACTACAAACCTGGAATCCGGATGAAATAGCCCGTTCCTTGAAGGATGAGTTATGTGTGCAACGGAGCGACAGACTTACTCGCGCCGCATTACACTGTGCTCACGCGCTCAGCACACCCATCAAACTGGGCATAAACTATGTGGCGCACACTCTTGTCGTGTCCTGGTCCAATCAGTACGCATTGTGCTCGCTTGAATGTGCCGTTCTACTTGCCAAGTGGCTAGAGGTGGCGACGGTCACAAATCCACAGCCGAGTCTGACTGAACAAGAGAGCAAGCTGCTTGAGTTTGTGTTAGAGATGGTCATGGAAGTGCAGCACGGTGTTTCCCGCGACTGGCTCTTGTCGAATAACACAAGACTAAGTGCAACTGTGACAAGGCTCTGGGCGAGGTTGTTTACAGGAGATTATATATGGCAACTGGTCAACCTAATAGGTCGCTCTCTCAATCGATACGCCGAGATACTGGAACCCACAAATGGCCCGGTGTGAACCAGCCCGATTCTCATCATATGTATAGATTTTAGATTAGAAGATACCCCAAAAAATTTAGAGAAATCCATCAGTCTAGGCGCTGCGTTAGGTAGCCATTCTTTTTCATCGCTGTGGAATTGGGATGGGCAAGCAAGGGCAGCCCCTCACAATGACGCCATCCTCACCCTGAAGGCATCACCGCAACATTATCTTTGCTCCCTCATGCCGCACCAACAACTTGGCAAAGACGAAGAAGCGGGGAGTGTTGCCTCTAGGTGAACCCTGCTGCGAATGCCGATGTCTGGACAAATCCCGTTGAAGTACGCTTATCTATCCCCCCTTAACAATCTGAACTAGGGATTGCGAGCTCACGGCGAGGTACATACACTAAGGACTTTGGTGTGCTCTATCAGGGTGACTTTGCTTTCTATAGCATGCATTCTGTCATTGCATCCGGCTATATCGCCGCTCTTCGGCGATAAATGTTCTCGATCAACCTGTGGCACTATACGCGACCAGCTTGGCAATGGCGTGCTAGAAATGTCGACAGTTCAAATTGAAGACAATCTCCCTCTCATGAGGTATCGCGAAACTGGAAACTGGACATCCTGCGATTGTCAGTCTGTGCTCCTTTAGAGACGTGCCTTGCGCAACATGACTAAAGCAAGCGACATCGACCAGCAGTCCGTTGGTGCACACCCGACGAGTCATTCAGTCGTACAGGACTCGGTCGGAAGCAAAGATGGCGTCTATGTGCAGACACAGCAGTTCAACGATAGCGCTTCCGACTTACAGGGGCACAATCCGTTCGCGGACCCAGAGGTCGCGGAGCGCTACGCCATGATCTATGAGAAGGCGCAGTACGAGTGTCGACACGTCTTTGATCCGACCCTCACATGGACCCCGGAGGAAGAGAAAGCGCTGGTTCGCAAACTGGACTGGCGTGTGTGTCTGTGGGCTGTATGTCAACATTTGTTGTGCTTATCTGTATAACTGGCTCACTGACTGGGTGTCTAGTGCGTGATGTTCTTTGGTCTTCAGGTAGACAGAGGCAATCTCGTCCAAGCGGTGTCAGACAATTTGCTGAATGACCTTGGGTTGACGACTGATGGTAAGACAATCGGTCGTCTAAGGTTGGAGGCTTGAGCTGACATGACTAGACTACAACACTGGTAATACTATCTTTCTCGTCTCCTTTCTGCTTGCAGAGTTGCCGTCACAGTTGGTGTCCAAGAAGATGGGCCCTGATCGGTGGATCCCGATGCAGATGACCCTTTGGTCTATCGTTGCAGCAGCCCAGGCTGGCTTGACTGGGAAGCGGACCTTCTACGCTACAAGAGCGCTCCTGGGAATTCTCGAGGTAACCAGATTTTCCGCATAATC